TAGAGTTGAGTTCTTTGTTTTGGGAAGGTTGACTGTATGGGCTCTCCAGGTACAAAAATTCAAAGTAAGTTCCCTACACTCTTCTTAAAGATAGCTGGAAACACCTTACACTTGCACACGGATGCAGTCTTGGAACGTGAATGCTCTGTTCTGTAACATAAACTGGAGTCAGCTTTCCCACATCTGGGCTTTTGAAGAAGGTGAAATTACTTTCCAAAAGGAGATTTTAGCAAGAGAGTTGGAGCACACTGACTCCGACAAGGTGTTATGTAATAGTGAAAACCCAAATTCTGGGCTCATTTATGATTGAATAACCAAAGTCATGGGAAATGGATCATGGACCCTTTTGATTGCTCTCCATGGGCTCTAGAGTCTTTTCTTCACTGTGGTATTGAGAAGTAAAGTCAGAGGAATATGTCTTCACTGTCCTTCAGCCCCCATATCCAGTCAATAGCTAAGGGCTGTAGATCTCTACTTGAAATACTCTGGAATTGATCCACTCTTTCATGCTAAGGTCATTATTTTAGTCCAACCCAGATCAGCCACCTGTCCAACTCTAACACATTTCTTATTCTCCATTCCAAATAATCCTTTAAAAGTACAATCTAACCTATTCACATTCTTACATCTTAGTCTTTCAGGTGGTTGCTCATAGAATAGTTTTTCTTTGTTTCACAAGGTTTAGAGAGCCCTCCACAATCTTGACCTCTGCCTGTCTCAGCTCCCTCCACCATCACCTTGCTCTCCCTGACCCCATGCTCTAGCCATGCTGGAATTATTTCAGTTCCTTAGAACATAGCTAGGTCTGTCTTGGCCCCCAAGGATGCTGTTCTGTTTGGAACTCTCTTGACCTGGTTCAGGGTCACAGCTCCGCTCAGATGTCTCTTCCTCTGGGACTGGGTTTGGATCCCTCATTTGCACTCTGAGAGCACTCACTTGCCCTTCTCCTTTATGTAGCATGGATCACACATGGAACTGATATGTCGGAAATAGTTCTCCTGCCAGATTGTGAACTCCAAGAGGGCAGGCGATGTCCTTTTTTCACTTCTCTGTCCCTGTGCCTGGAAGAAGGCCTGAGACATAGTATAGGCCACTGCAAATACCTGTTGAACGGAATGAAAAGTGAATGACGTAGAAGTATCAAAGAATTTGTGGGAGTGGAGATTATGAAAAAGAAAAGGCAAATGGCACTCGAGAATTCATCAACTATGTTAAAAGCCAAAAGGTTCATAAGCTTTAACTTTTCAGCGGTTATCGTGTCAGGGTGTCAGTAACTCAGTGGAAGCAAAAGCCAGGGAATTGTAGACTTAAGAATAAATTATTTTTTAAGGAAGTGAACACAGCACCTAAGGCCTGATCTTCCAAGAAGTGTGACCATAAAGGGGAACAGGGATGAGATGAAAGAGTCTGACATTGGGTTGCTTTTTTTTTAAACTTAGTACTGGAGTGACTTGGACATTCTTACCAGTTTTTCTAGTACTTTGTCCTGCTTTCCTGATAGATCATAGGGGAAAGTGCTACAAATATTTCCCATTGAAAAATGAAAAGAAACACATTATGAAAGGCTGATATATGGAGTTTTATTAGTGTTTTTTTTGTTTTGTTTTTGAAGAAGAAAGACTTTTTAGATTTCTGGTCTACCTGAAAATTAAGCTTGACACCGATTTATGAAAATGGTGATGAGTCTTTGCTGCTCTATGCAAACTTTATCCTCACTAGGGCACTTTTTGTTTCTAAGTTCTCTTCTCCTTTCAGCTACTCTTAAAAATTTCGACTTTGGAATTTGATCTTAAAACACATCTCTTTAACCACAGATTTTGGCATGGCTAGGTGCTAGGCCTGAAATTGGACATTGGCTGTAACTATTTGCTTTTACTATAGAGACTTAGTTCTTAGGCTCCTCCCACCACCCCAATTTCTAGTTTGAAATCTGCTCTTTTTTTTTTTAAAGATTTTATTTATTTATTTGAGAGAGAGAGAATGAGAGACAAAGAGCACGAGAGGGAAGAGGGTCAGAGGGAGAAGCAGACTCCCTGCTGAGCAGGGAGCCCGATGCGGGACTCGATCCCGGGACTCCAGGATCATGACCTGAGCCGAAGGCAGTCGCTTAACCAACTGAGCCACCCAGGCGCCCTGAAATCTGCACTTTAAGACCTGCTGTCGTAAAAGAGGTTTTCTGTGTCGAAGTCCTTATGGGGTGTTTTCTCTCAGATCTTTGTATAAGTAGAAAACAAGATTTTGTGTGTAACTCTAGAGTTGTAATGATGGACAGCCCCCTTACCTGAACAATCACGCATCCTGGTTATTAATATGAGGCCAATAGCTGGGTCATTATTCTCACCATAGCAGAGTTAATCACTTACTAGTAAAAGGGAGAGAGCATTCAATACATTTGAAGGCTGTTTAATCATCAACCTTGGGGATGGCAAATACCTCTCCGAGTTTCTGGGAACATATATCCCACTGCTTGCCAAGGCCTTGTCACCAAGTTTATTACTTTAATTAATTTGTTTTTCCCTTACCATGTTACTCTCATTTCTACAACCAGCTATGTACTGAGTTCAGCCACTGACCAAACCATTTCCAAAGTCACTGCTAATGTTACACATGAAAATCATCACTCATTTAGTTGAAGAATGTATTCTGTATTCCTAGCAGGCAAACACAAGACAAACATAGGTTTCCAAGGTATCAGCCCTGAGTGCATCTGTTTCATAATGTAATTTCATCGGTTGAGCAGATGAAGAATGCTAATTAGCTTGTTTATACATATGTGATTTAATGAGACTAAACACTTAACTTATCTTAAAGAAAGCACAACTTGTTTCCTGTTGCTGTTTTTATTTAATAAAAAACAGTGTTAGACACATTTTCTGGAAATTATAGTGCTGTGCAATATAGGAGAAGAAAGAATTTCAAGGTTGACTCGTCGGTTTTATTCTTCTGCAGCGAGATTGAATAGGAGGCTGAGAATCAAAATATTGGGTTTGGGGACAAGGGTTGAAATCCAACATTAATGAGAAGGTTAAACTTAGTGGGAGACTTTATCATAAACTGTATTATGTCAAACCCCTAAGTCCCAAACTAAAATTCTGTTATGTACCAGAATAACTTATTTTAAGGAGCAGTTCTATACCTTCATCAGATCCAATCTAAAATTTATTTTTTTTGTTGCTTTCCTTTATTTTTTTTGAGTACTCTCTTCTTCTAGTTATTATAGTTATCTTTTGATATAACTGAAATCATGGCATTCAGTTTAATATAGCTCTTTTTCCTGAAAATTAATATAAAATAATGGTATTATAATTTTTATAGTTATTTAATATTATCTACTATGCTACCTTTTTTTACTTTCAAGTTGTACAAAACTGGATCCACGTAGGCTGCTATATTTTGGAGGTGGGGTGGGTAGAGATGAGGAAGTAACTCTGGTCCTATAGGCAGAATTCTGTTTGGATTAAAATGCTTCAGTTAACCTGCTCAGCTTTCTATAACCAGGGGTCTGCAAGCTATGGCTTGATCCAAATCGACAAGGGTGAATCTGAGGGCCAAATCCACAGCAAATTGTTTTTGCAAATAAAGTTTTATTGGAACACATCCATACCATTCTTTGTATATCAGCTGTGGTTGCTTTCATGCTGCAATGGCAGGAGTTAAGTCACTGATAGAAACCCACAAAGCTGAAATTATCTACTCTCTGGCCTTTTACAGAAAGGTCTACTGTCCACTGATCTAAAGCATGTATGAGAATGGAAGTTAGTGAATAGTAATAGTTACATTCAGATGCATTAAAGACTGAGTAACATATATTTTCTTAGAATTGAATCTTAAAATAAATGTGGTTGAGAGCCTGGGATTTCTAGGTCTTTCAGACTCCAAGTAACCATTCCCTCTATCACCAAATTATCTTTGGATCACTCAGTAGCCTGCTGAGAGAACTCCCTATTCTATTCTGGCAGAAAATGTCTTCTGCTCGTGAATAGATAAGATCTTCCTTGTATCTTCTTGAAGATTCATAAATTACATGTGATCACAGATTTGGGGGAGGACTTTAAGTAGAGAGTAGCAGCAACTTCTTGGTTTACTCCAGTGTCATCTAGATTCAGATCCAGAGGCCCCTGCAAATCCAATGGTATGATCTTAGGGATCAGGAGTTCTTTGAAAAAATAATTATTTGTTTTTCATTTTGATGATATTTTTTTTTAAGATTTTATTTATTTATTTGAGAGAGAGAGAATGAGAAATAGAGAGCACGAGAGGGAATAGGGTAAGAGGGAGAAGCAGACTCCCTGCTGAGCAGGGAGCCCGATGTGGGACTCGATCCCGGAACTCCGGGATCATGACCTGAGCCGAAGGCAGTCACTTAACCAACTGAGCCACCCAGGTGCCCCATTTTGATGATATTTTTAAATTATTTTGCTATTTATAGAAACAAGTATCTTCTTTTGCAGTGATCATTTCAATTAATCTTTTTTCATCTGAAACCCAGTATTTCAGATCCAAAAACATGTACTTGAACATCACTACATATATATTTTTTTTTCCTTTAAATATTGGGAGACACTGGTTTCTGCTATCCTGATTTTTTTCAGTAAGGGGAGCATAATGAGAATGTAGTACTTAGCCCTAAGACATAGATTTATACTTGGCTTTTGTCATAAAACCATTAAGTTCCACTCTTGTGGAATCAAACTAGCCCAAATGGGCTATAAAAATGGAAATAGTCATTTGTGGTAGGGACATTTGGAAGAAAATTATGCTCCATTCAAAAAATACTAAAACCAAGTATTTTACAAAGATACTAAAATGCACACATATCAAATAAAGACCTTTACCAAATGGTTTATCCATTTTGGAACTGACATGTCCACCACAATTTTCTTCTTACTTGAAAATGACATATGAATGTATGGTCTTTGCTTTTTTACACCTGTCTTTTTCTGTTTTTGTAAGTATACAAAATCACGTGTCTTTCTGTTCTGACTTTCTATTACCCATAGACACCCCAGTCACCAGTATCCTTGATCTGTTAGTGGCTTCCACTGGGCAGTCCCACATAAGAAGAACGACTCACCCAGAGGTGCTGTGCTGCGGAGTGAGAGGCTACTAACACCATGTTCTGCACAAAGCTGAAGGATCTCAAGATCACAGGGGAGTGCCCTTTGTCCTTACTGGCACCTGGGCAGGTTCCCAAGGAGCCAGGGGAAGAGATAGCAGGAAGCTCAGAGAGTGGCGAAGCAACTCTGCCCATCTGTCAGGATGTCCCTGAGAAGAATGTACAAAGAAGTCTTCCTCAAAGAAAGACCAGTAGGAGCCGAGTCTATCTTCATACGTTAGCGGAGAGTATTTGCAAACTGATTTTTCCCGAGGTGAGTGCTTGTCCTTTTGAGATTTTACTGATATTTTGAAAATTGTAAAAGAATATTTTTTAAGGAAAATGTTAACCGTTGCTTTCTCACTTGCAAGGCTATAAGAAATGTGGACTATTTCCTGGAAACATATAAAAACACTTTTTGAAAGCTTTCATGTTCTTAAATTATGTTTAATCTTAATCAATGTTTAAGATCTTGAATTCTGTTCAACAGGATCCTGCACTCTGATGAGCTTTATGACTTTGAGCAACCACTTAGCCCCTCTTATCCTCAATTTCTTTATCTGTGGAATGGTAGTAATAACAGTACCTACTCCCTAGAGTTTTAATGAGCATGAAGGGACTTAATCCATGGCTCTTGCCATACCATAAGTGCCTGTTAGTTGTTAGCTATTATCTTAAAATTAAATTCCTTGAAGAATAACTTATCTTCTGCCCATTTTCTTCTAATTCCAAAGAGCATCGTATTTTCCCTGCCATTTGTTGAGGTGGGAAAATCTCCCTTTTCCTCTTCCAGCTCTGCGTCTGAAGTCTCTGCACAAGCCAGGCTTGACCTGTTTCCTTGAGTCAGAGTCATGGCCCCGTGCTTGCACATTAGCTCGGACACTTCTTGATCTAGCTCTGTGAGCTGTGTAGCCTCATGCCCCTTCAAGATCTGGAGCACCTTTTCTGTTAATCCACCTATAAGAGAACTCTGGGGACAGGGCACATACCTAATGAAGTCACATATCTTAGGAATAGAGGGATATGTGGAGAGCTTCTCTCCCCCTGCAGGGCTAACGAGAAGAGCAGCTGACAAGTCTTCATGATGTCTTCTTCCCTCTGGCAGTGTTCACAGTTTTATATAAACTCAGTCTGAGAGATTGGACATTGATCTAATCTGACTCCAGCTATAATAATCCACTGAACATTTTTAATTCACCCAACACCCACCCTTTCCTTTGTGCGGAGCACTGAAGAACCACAGACTGCTGACTTTTAAAAACTTAAAGGAATTTCAGACGTAATCTTATTTCATTTCTAGGAAGGACTTAGCTAGGTTAAACGACTTGACTAAAGTCACACAGCTCCCGAAGGGCAGAGCATTACTCCTGTCAACAGTATGGCTAGAGTGACTGAGAAAAAAGGGACTAGCACTGAAGCTTGAACATGGAGAAATTAGAATCAACAGAGAGTTGAGGGAACTTACTTCAAATACAGTATTAGCACAATAGGACTTTGGTTAATGGCCTTTGACATGGAAATATTTCATTATTCTCACTCCACTCCAGTTACTGGACAGCCAGCTTTGGCTGGGATGAGCGATGTCATACTTCACAGGCAGTTGGTTGGCATCATCGTCTGGGAAGTGGTTGGGACTCTCATTTCCAAGAACAGAGTGAGACACACAGAGATGAACAGATGGTGAGGATGGGAAAGCTGGAGGGCTCCCATGCCTTCCCTGGGTCCTGTCATTACCATGTTGGCTTCATTATTGTGTTGCATAAATTTTGAATTCCTGCCATTGAAGTCAGACACACATTGGAATCTCTTTTAAAAACATTCTGGGGGCGCCTGGGTGGCTCAGTCAGTTGGGCATCTGCCTTTGGCTCGGGTCATGATCTCGGGGTCCTGGGATCGAGCCCCGCATTCGGCTCCCTGCTCAGTGGGAAACCTGCTTCTCCCTCTGCCTGCCACTCCCCCTGCTTGTGCGTGCTCTATCTCAAATAAATAAAGTCTTCAAAAAATTTTTTAAAAATATTAAAAACATTCTGAATACCAACTCTAAATGGTATTTTACCTTTTTTTCTTTTTCTTCATTTGGAATAATCTGTGTTGTTTGTGAACTCGTAGGAATAAACATCAAAATTTGACGAGAGCGTCATGTAGCAAGGAAGGCAAAGCTGTAGGAACTCTAGGGGGTAAAAGAGGTACATTTGGCATTAATGACTAGAACTCTGACAACTGAGGCCATTTGCCTTATAACAGTACGTGCTGGATGCATTTGGACTATGTAGTGATGAGTGTAGATCACTTCATCAACTGTCCAAACATCAGCATGTCTTTGATCAAATACAACTTTTTTTTTTCACTGATTCTTTTTTATGTGGACAGATTTAATGCTTAGCCTACTGTTTAGTTTCAATTCTATCAGCAACCCAAAGGAGAGACTCAGAACGGCATTTGACAGCATTATAGTTCTTGTTTTAGATAATTAGATTTAACTCTGCAGTCATGTGTTTTGGGTTTGTTTGGAGTTTTCTTGGCAGGGGAGGGGGCAAGTATCCTTAGAAGATTTAGAGTGGGGATATGTCATTCCAGAGTAATGGAATAGAAGGGCCTGAAAAGGTGTTATTGCTCATCCAATGCAAACTTTTCATTTCTGTTTTTTTCCAATAAATTCCAGATTTTTTCCCTAAGTTTCATATGCACTTTAAAACTAAAAATTCTTTCCATAACCATTTTATTAAAACAGAAGCTTGCTCTATTTTGCTTAACTCCGCTGCCTCACTTGACCAGTGGGAACTCTAAGAGGGATATAAATAGTTCTTAGGGAAAAGGGAATTTCCCAACTTGGAACATAACCAAATTTACTTTCCTCTGGGCAAACTACAGAAAGAATCAACAGTTATATATACACATATAGATACATATGGTTTTTATATGGAATGCAAAACATTGGCAGCCCTGCTAACCAATGCTCTACATCCTACTTACCAACTAGTTAGAGAAAACAAGCTGTCAACAGAGATTAATAGATCGTCAAGTATTTATGAAGTATGGAGGCTTATATACAAATATAAGCAATATATACAAATAACTTATAATGTGGAAAAACTTGTGAAATACTCCGAGATCAATAAAAGAGAGTAAAAGTATAAGTATTTGATGAAAATAATTAGTTCAAAGAAAGGAGATTAGTACAAGTTTGGGTAAATGCAAGATTTGTTTCAAATCAGGGATCAACTGACCTTGGTGAAAGCTTGGATTTAAGGTATTAGAAAAAGGGGAAAGACAGAGATAGCTTCAGAGTTTTCTAGGCCAGAACATGTAAATGAAATATGAAACATAAATTTGCATTTGTAGTTGAGAAAATCAGCAGGGGGGCCGGGTGTAGGGTTTGTGAAGAGAACAGGAATTTGCTTGGCTTGAGCCACGATGAGACTGAAGCATTGGCAGCACATCCCAGAGGATTTCCTGACCCAGAGGAAGTGGTGCTCACAATTCCTTCGTGGAAGACCTGGCATTACCAACTGGAGTCTTCTGTTGGGATTCCGATTCAGGCTGACCTTGTTTTGTGGCTGTCAGTGAGACCACCCACAAAGTGCAAAGCCTGGGAGTCACAACCCACATCATCCAAACTGAAATTAGTCAAAGCTCATTGTTTCTTCCCAGAGTTGAGAAATTTATAGAAAATCAGTCTCTGTTTCCAAAGCGTAAATTCACCACACTCATCAGTAGGGTAATCATGTTTCTGCTTGATAGAAAAACTTCCAGGACAAATGTTTAAAACATCTATCTTCAAGTAAATTATTGAAGGGAAGGTTTAAAACTTTTCTTCTCAATTTTTAGTTGGAGCGGCTGAACCTTGCACTTCAGAGGACATTGGCGAAACACAAACTAAAAGAAAGCAGGTAAAATTGAACCACTTTAGGTTGTGTGAACCTCCCATTACACTTAACTGGTATCACTGCAAATAGACATCACTTAGTGAATGCGTCGACATTTTTCGAATCACTGTGGTATTCGAGAAACTGGACTAAGTGTTTTAACTGCCACTAATCTGAAAGTAAGTGCATTTATTTTTCACATTGAATACATCCCTGAGCTCAGATTTATATAAAATGTTTAGGATTTTACAGCTGTTCAGGAAAAGGTAGAACTGAGTTTCAAGCCTGGGTTTTTCAGGAGCCCATGATTTTAACTATGTTGCCATATACCGCTGCTTTTAACAAGCTATAAAGCCTATTCTTTCCTACTAGAGGTAATGTCAATACTTCATAGGTAAGGCAGGGATCCCAGATGATCAGTACAGACTCCTGCCAAAAGCTGGAGCCTGGTCCCAGTGCAGGGGAGGGGGGGCACCTCCCGCACACGTTAAACTTTCAGCTGCTGCGGCAGGAGGAGATTGAAAAAGAATCAGAGTTGGGAGGGTGGTTAAAAGGGAGAGGTTGGGGCGCCTGGGTGGCTCGGTCGTTAAGTGTCTGCCCTCTGCTCAGGTCATGGTCCCAGGGTCCTGGGATCGAGCCCCACATCGGGCTCCCTACTCCGCAGAAAGCCTGCTTCTCCCTCTCCCTCTACCTGCTTGTGTTCCTCTCTCCCTGTGTCTCTCTCTGTCAAATAAATAAATAAAATTTTTAAAAATAAATAAATTAAAAGGGAGAGGTTGACTCAGGGGTTTGAGGCAACAGCCGTTTATCAGTCTAAAGGAAGTGTTTCCACATTGTTGTAACCCCTTTGGTTATATTTGTAGGCACTGGCTGAGTATCAGTTCCATCTATACTTTTTTCTTGAACTCTGTCTTTGAAATTTGTTTAAAGAAAGGGTTTAAAAGGTTAATATATAAGATGGTTTGTTTTTTGTTTTTGTTTTTAAAGCCGCTTTCTAGAGTTAATTTTTCAAATACATCTTGGCACATTTACTGCTGGCGGGGAATTTGATTGGCCTTGTTTTTGATTCCTTGGAATCTCAAGGATTATTTCATTTGTAAATAATAGAATAAATACTTGGGTTCATATTTGCAGAATTGAACATTGCAGCTTTGCAAACCAACACCATTGTCGGGAATATGTTATACATTCATTCATCTGCCTATTTCTCATGAGTGGGTTGTCTGTCCTTCATTTTCCCTGTTGACTAACTGGTCCCAGACTGCAGACAGCGGGCGAGCCAGGAACGGGTCAGGAGGGGTCCAGAAGGAGAGAGTGTGAATCTCTATGTCTGACAGAAACTTTGTTTACACAAGTGATAGGAAAAGCATTCCAGAATGCCTCTGACCTTAATTCTAAGTCACGCTGATAAGATAGCCACCAGCCATTGTAGTTACGCTACTGTGTCTGTCTGCTTAAGTCCTTGGCAGCCAGTTGGCTCAAAATTGATTCTCAGGGCTTTGTGTTCTGAAATGTTCCAAGCCAGAGGCTGCAGGGGTTCAGGTAGGATGTATTCCCAGTGGTGTATCTCTTTAAAAATACCTCAAAACTAAAAAAAAAAAAAAAAAAA